TCCCAAAATATGTATTAAAAGCAGTTCGATATGGAGAGATTTCTCTTTCCAAAAATGTTGATTTTGTTAAATTTATGATGGTTTTGGAACTCTGAGGCTTCTAAAATGAATTCTAGATAGTTTTGTTGTTGTTTTTCCCCAGAATCTCAGTTGCCTTGCTAGTTGTTTACAGTGGATTTGAATATTGTATCTGCTTTCACATACTACAGTGTAACAAGTTAAGGTTTTGTATTTTGCATACCATAGTCTTGTTGTTTCCACTAGCTGTAGTGTTCAGGATTGTGCCTGTTTTAGCTGTGCATCATACCACTACTTATCTAACAGACGTTGTGCCGCTGTGTGTAATTGAGAGTAGAATGTTTATTTTTATATATATGAGTACATTTATTTCCTATTCACAGATAACATAATATTTGTCATTGTGATGTAGTAAATTGATTCAGAAAATATCTCAATTGGATGGGCGAGTGAAGCCTGATTGAAATGTTTAAGTTTGTAGTGTTTTGTTTAACCAGAATTTCTGGTTAAGTGTCAGTGGCTGAGAAGACTTCAGATCTTACAGGATCCTATTAATCCACCTTATTCTCTAAACATTGAAAAGATAAGACATCAATGTATATTTTAAAGTTCAGCATTCTCAAGAAGATAGATCCAAATTCAAGCCTCCTTTGCAAAGTGTAATTTTTGGTGTGACAGAAAGGATAATGTGTAGACCATGTGTGCTATTCAAATTTATTAAAATTAAATCTCTTCTTCCCAATTAGTTTAATTTTTACTTGTTATTTTCCTTCTGTGAAGGAAAACAAAATAGTTCTCCAAGGAGCTGGGCTTTGAATTTTATTTTGCTCTCATCCTGCAATCAACCATGTGAATCATGCCTTCCTGCTCTTTATGTTAAGAGAAATTGAAATGTAAACATGCTAAGAAGTAGACCTTTTATTATAGACTACTATGGTTTATCTTGCTACTAATTAATATAACATTTTAAATAATTTATAACCTGTGTAAGGACAATAATAATGTGAATCAATATACCCTGGTCCTTCTGGTTATTCTTCTCTTAAGTCCTTGTGTTGACAATGGAGCTGAAATCAGCTCCCAGAGACCAGAATTTCAGGAGGCCCCTCAACTCCAAATGGAAGCCTCGCTTTCATGCTCCTATCTTTCATCTACAAATGGACACTTTGTAAATTCTATTGTATAGTGAATTTTCTGAAAAGTATCATTTGTATGATTTGCTTTTTAATCCTCCAGTGTTACATGATTCTAAGAATTCTTCTTATAAACATAGACGAAGCATTTGGTTTTTTCTAGTTAACATTTTACAATAAGGTGTAAACATAGTTAAGGTTCTATAGGGTTTTGAATGACAATATGGTTGGTGGAGAAATATTATTAATCAGAGGTTGTGATCTTTTATACACACACACACACATATTTTTAGCTGTTGATAGACCTTTATTTTATTTATTTATATGCAGTGCTGAGAAACAGACCCAGTGCCTTACACATGCCAGGCAAGTGCGGTACTGCTGAGCCACAACCCCAGCCCCAGAGGTTGTGATTTTTTTTAACGTAGGTTTGTGCCAAACTTTCTTATAAATTGTGACCATTTTTCACTATTGCTACATATTTTCTACCTTTTTTTTTTTTAGGGACTTGAATTATAATAACTTGGAGGAATTTCCCCAGGCTATTAAAGCACTTCCTAGCCTAAAAGAACTGTGAGTATTGCTTTGTGTATTTTATGTCTTAATATCTCTAGAACTTGCCATTTAATATTCTAACAATGAGATTTTAGAATGTCTTTGTCCTATTACATATATCCATAGCACACATCCAAGCACATATATACTCATACAGATCAGATTATGTTGGCTGGTATAACTGTTTTGAGCAGATTGCTATATCAGTTTAGATTCTGTTGCTGAAACAAAACAGTATGATCTCTGCCTTTTCGGAAGCTTAGAGTCTTAGTCTCATTAGGAAGGCAGACAATGGAAGACAGATAGATAGCTGTTTCTAGGTAGAAATTAGTGTTGAATGAGTAGGATAAATAAATCAATCTAGAAAAAGACCTCAGTGAGGCTTGGGGTCATTGGAAAAGACATCACTAAAGCAAAGAAATTTGACCAGACTTGAAATAATGAAAATATTTAAATAAATGAAAGGCATAAAGGAGAATTTTGGATGTTGGGCTTGTCATGAGCAGAAATAGAAATAATGTATATAGATATCATAATAGAGATTGTGTATCATGAGTTGACATCTAATAGCCTAACATGCATTGCCTAAAGACATATTGCAGGCTACAATAAGAAAGATTTGGGGACTAGAATGTCTTATGATTCTCATAGCATGATGTTCTTTAATGATGAAACAATATATAAATGTATATGAGGGACCAGATAGATTCTAGGCAAGCAGTGGGTTTAAGAGGAATTAGGTAATAGATGAGGTGGAATTAATTCAGATTTCCCACTTTCTTGAAAATGTTTAAGTAGCGGTTATCAGTAGTATTTTATGTAATGCTGAGCAGCAGTAGATACTCAAGTTTTAACTTACTTCACAGGCGATACAGATTTCAAATGTTTTTCTCTTATCTTTTTAGGGGATTTCATAGTAACTCTATTTCTGTTATCCCTGATGGAGCATTTGGTGGTAATCCACTCTTAAGAACTATGTAAGTATTTTTGAAAGTTTCTTTTAGAATAAAATCATGCGAATCTGTGTCTGTACCTAGTCAAACATCTAGATGAAGAATGAAAATTCAGGCTTTTAGGTACACATACATTGTGAACATAGATTTAGTATTAGAATGCTGGTGAACATATGAAAACTTGACTTTTTCTGGGATTTTGTTACAGACACTTGTATGATAATCCTCTGTCTTTTGTGGGGAACTCAGCATTTCACAATCTATCTGATCTGCATTCCTTGTAAGTATTATGCAAGTTTAAAACATACCTGAATATTTGTACAGTTCTTTTAATGGAAAAAAATTTTATTATTGTAGCTTCAAAAAAAAAATCTTTTATTTTTTCCCCTCTTGGGCAGAAGTCCAAAGAATGACTCTGAAAATTTATAGTGCTTCTTATTGATGTGAACGCTTGACCAAATTATCGTACTTTCAAGTAACATAAAGAGATGAAAGAAGCTGGTTTTTAGATAGTACTTTAATTTTAAACTCTTTAAAAAAATATAATGAAAATATTATGATGAAAACTATTTTATTTTGAATTACTTTCTCCCCTCCCAATTTCTCAGAGTCATTCGTGGTGCAAGCAAGGTGCAGTGGTTCCCCAATCTGACTGGAACTGTCCATCTGGAGAGTCTGTAAGTTTGGTTCTTTGAAGAGGGGTTGGGCCAAGATAATACTGCAAGGTGGCTAGCAGAGTGCCATTGCTTTTTAGTGACCATGATGGGTTTGTGCTCATTCTCCAGATTCCCTTTGTGACTATCATGCACAGAGATGGATGTTTTGGGTTTGGGATCAGTCAACTCAGACAGAATTCAGCTCTAGGACATATAGCATGTCCTGTCAGATTCCATTCATCTCAGCACCATTTCACCCCTGACCTGCAATATTAGCAACAGAAATGAAGAAAAAAGATCAGATATTAGAACATTACAGAAGAAGAAATAACAGGAACTGGTGATTGCAAATGGGAGCATATAAAGGAAGGAGAATAAGAATAAGAGAATAAGCCTACTATGTGGACAGAAGATCTGAAAGTCTCACTGAATATATAAGACAGTTATAAGGTGCCAAAGTAGAAGCAGTGCTTTAGAAATTCAGAAATGGGATCAATTAGTGTACACCATCCAAGAAGGTTTCATGGGGGAGGTAAAGTGTTTGAAAATTGAATATGTCAGATTTCTCAGAGCTAGGTCTTTTATTTCGAAAGACAGAATTCAGTAAAACTGGGAGTACCAAGGATATTTTCAGGAATGGCATGTAGATGATCAAACATGGCTAAGAATTACATGTTTATAATGTGATGAAGTATGTTATAGAGAGATTTGGAAAATTGTTTTGGATCAGATTTTTAAATGACAGACCTTGAACACTGAACATTTGGTTATGGCAGAGTTTCCCTGTGAGTGTCTGTGAATGTAAGGTTACAAGGTCATCTAACTCTTGCTCTCAGCCCTTCAGATGAGTGGTGGGGTTGGGGTGGGGCAGCTGAAGTAGCTAGGCTCTCTAACTATGGGAGTCTTACCATGGTGTGCCATATGAACATTATGATTTTCACATGTGCCCAGACAAAAAATAAAAATAAAAGAAAGTTGGGTGGTCCTGAGATAAGGAGTTTTAACTTGACCCACAATGCAGTTTGCTGGTATTGAGAAGGTTTGAGCAAGGCAAGGAGAAAAGACTAGAGATAGAACAGTTAACTTTTAATGGAAAAAGAAAAGAATTTATTATTGTAGCTTCAAAAAAAAATCTTTTATTTTTTCCCCTCTTGGGCAGAAGTCCAAAGAATGACTCTGAAAATTTATAGTGCTTCTTATTGATGTGAACACTTGACCAAATTATTGTACTTTCAAGTAACACAAAGAGATGCACATGTGCAACTGTGAGACTCCAGGTCTTCAGTCACTGGAGTTGCCCCAGGACATATAGTATGGTTTATCAGATTCCTTCATCCCTCTCAGCAACATTTCACCATTGATCTGCATAGTAACAGTAAAAATGGAGAGAAAAGGTCAGATTCTAGAACACTACCAAGAATCAACAGGAACTGTTGATTGCAAATAGTAGCATAGAAAGGGAGGAAAGTAAGAGACTACTTCAGAATGCTGAGCCAGGTTGACTCAGTAGAAACAACATTTGGGGTAGGATACTAAGTTGATTTTAAATGTGTTAGTTATGAGAAGGTGACAAAACTTACAGGTGATTGAGGCCAGGGTGTGACTGTGAGTTCAAGTTTTTCTCTTGGTCTATCTGGGAAATCAAGCCCATCATCTGGACAATATTAACATCATGTGTCACAAGCTTTTTTTTTCATTTTTTCTGAAGATGATGTCAGTATTGAGGGTTAATTCACCTTCCCACCTGCTTAATTTTAAGAGGTAATTAATTAGGCAGTGGAATGCAAAGTCTCTATCCATATGTGAATATGTAGGTATTTATTTTGCTTATTATCCTGACTTGGATTATTTCTTAGATGAACAATGTTTTTCCACAGGACCTTGACAGGTACAAAAATAAGCAGCATACCTGATAATTTGTGCCAAGAACAAAAGATGCTTAGAACTTTGTAAGTTATATCCCTCTCCCCACCTTTCTTTTATGTACTTTACAAATGTTTAGTTTTTTTTTTTTAAATGAACTCTTTTGTCAAGGTTTTGAGGTATATTTCTTGTTTGTTCCTTTTGTATAAATGAGCAGGCATTTTGGTAATCAGGGAGGTAATGTGCATTTGAATTTGCTTTGGGGATTATGTATATATCATATATCTTGTGGCTTTATTTTGAACAAAGTAAAACCAAGCTAATTTCTCCCTTGATTTTTTTTTTTTCCCTGCCATATCCTGACTCCTTGTCCTTATTCTAGTTTCCCTATGGGTGTCCTCTCCCCATAGCTTCCTGTTTTTCATCAGTAACCTAAGCAGAGCCTAAAGCTTTCTTAAATTTGAAATGAATTGAATATGCAACTTTCTAAAAACTTAAGCTGACCTTGAAAGTAAAAATAAATAAGTATTGTGAAAGTTTCACCAGGACACATGATTAAGTTACTAAGTTGTTAATAAGTATTCAGTGGCAGGAGATAATAACAAGGCAAGTGACAGATTGGATTAAGCAAGTAGTTAAGTGCTGTAGTGGAGTCTCAGACTTGCTGTGAGCATGAGGGAGAGCTGCAGTGGGGTTGAGCATTAGCTATTCTGGCATTTCATTTAATATGATTTTTTAAAAATGTGAGTAAGCATACCATTCCTCTTATAGCTTTTAAATTAAAGAACAACATAGAAATTATTTATGGGCATAAATAACTTTAGAAAAATACAAAATTTTTTAAAAACTTGCAATTTTCCACTTAAAATTTTTATGTTTGTATGTTTTATATATATATATATATTTTTTTTCTCCCTCCCTCTCTCCAAGCTTTTGGGATTTTATTTTTACCCATGTTCTTTTAAATTTTGACAATAATGTACCTTGATATAGATTTATTTCTCACTCATAATCCTGGACATCTGGATGCTCTTTCAATCTAAAATCTCATGCCCTTCAGTTCTGGACACTTTTCCTGTTTTGTTTTTCTTTCCCACTTCATTTTCTCCTTCCCTTGCCTATCTATTAATTAGATGCTATAACTTTTAAAATGAATTTTTTAATGTTAACTATTTTCCATTTCCTTTATTTAATTCTACTTTCTGGATGTTTCTGAGGAGGCTTTCTTTCTCTTATAACAAAACTAAGCTTCTTGAAGAAAAGGTCTTTAGCCATTTCAAAGACATACATATATGTACATTGACTATATATGCATGTATTCTGTGTTATTTGTAGAAAAACAAAATTATGATTTTTTTATTAGTTGATCAAGACAATACAATGATCTTGACATATCATACATTTGATTCAAATAGGGTATGAATTCTCATTCTTCCACGTGTACAGATTGCAGGATCACATTGGTTATACATCCATGTATATACATACAGCAATCCTAGTGTCAGTTGTATTCTACTGGCCTCCCTATCCTCCCCCCTCCCCTATATGTTTTTATATAATATATTTTAACCTGTTTATATTGTCTATATTCTACAGTATATACTTGAACTTATAAATCTTAAGCCTATTGTAACTGAATTTTTCTAGAAACTTATGTCTTAGAGAATAACAGATGATTTTCTTTCTTCTTCATTTTTTTTTCTTTTTTCTTTTGGTACTGGGCATTTAACCCACATATACTCTACCAATGAGCTACATTCCCAGTTCTTTTTTATTTTTTTACTTTTATTTTGAGACTGGGTCTGACTAAGTGCTGAGTGTCTCCCTAAGTTGTTAAGACTGGACTTGAACTTGGAATTCTTCTAAGCTACCAAGTTGCTGAGTTACAGGTGTACACCACCATGCCCAGCATAGTTTGCTTTTCTTCCTCAGTCATATTTTTTCTTTCTCCTTCCACATTTTTTATTGGTACATTATAGTTATATGTAATGATGAGATTTTGTTGTTAGTCATATCATTTTTTAGACATCTTAATGCTGCTTTAAGGACTTTTGAAAGAGTATTCTGATAACATTACATTAATTTGTTAATTTCTATTGTTTTAAGGGACTTGTCTTACAATAACATAAGAGATCTCCCAAATTTTAATGGTTGCCATGCCCTGGAAGAAATGTAAGTTGGCCTCTGATTTTTTACTGTGATGTATTCTTAGTTTGTTGAACATTTCCTATTTTAAATAAATGGTTTTAATAAGAAATTAGAAATTTATATAGTGAGGTGTTCCCATATATAAAATGTCAAATTGTACCAGTTGCTTGCATAGAGCCAGAATTTATCAAGTCCTAGGAGAGTGGTCATACTTAAAAAACAAAACAAACACAGAAAAACTTATCCCGGCTATTGAGGGCAATTGTACATGAATACTGGTACTGTGTGTGTGTGTGTGTGTGTGTGTGTGTATGTGTGTGTAAGAGAGTGTGACAGCTCTGGAGGAAATTGGGTTGAAAGATGAGAGAGAGGAAGGCATTTATTCTCCCCTTTCTAATCTTCTTCAACTTCCTGTGCAATTTGTTATGGTCTTGTCTGGATGTTTCTCACTGTGTCATCTTCCTTCTCTCATACTTGAGTAGGCTTCCAAAGAAATTTAAATAGTGAATCAGTTTACTCAGTATAATTTGGGACAGAATGTCAATTAGTCTAACCTTTTCATTTTACCAATGAGGAAAGAGAAGTTTTCTTAACTTGAAACAAGATTAATATATATTACATATGAATGGTTCTTTAAATTTAGAAAAAGATTAACTACGGTTATTATTTTTCAAAATAGAAATAATTTTTTCTCTCTGTTTTAAATTTTTTTTCTTTTTTTGCCTCTTCAGTTCGTTGCAACGTAATCAAATCTACCAAATAAGGGAAGGTACTTTTCAAGGCCTGGTATCCCTAAGGATTCTGTAAGTTTTTCTATGATTATTAAAGACAAAATTTTTGTCAAGCTACAAGTTAATATATCATGATTTCCATGTTAATGGAATATCCCATTTTAATAGCTATATGTAAAGATATGATTTATATTACATAAATAGTATTTTTCAAACTCTACCACTTGGTACTTTATAAATATCTACTTTCAGTAGTCCTTACTCTAGCAAATTGATGATATTGTACATTAGTGAGTGAAAAAAGTCCAGTGTATGTAACCTAAGCGATGTTGCTTATTTGTTTTCAAGTTATATTAGTGAGGTCTATCAATTTGTTAGGGTAAAGATAGGCAAATTACAGCCTGTGTGCCAAATCCAGCCTGCCTCCCATTTAAAAAAATTTTTTTTGTTTTCTTATAGATGGACACAATACCTTTATTTTATTTCAAACCCAGTGCCTCACATGTGCCAGGCAAGAGCCGTATCACTATGCTACAACCCTAGACCCTGCCTCCCATTTTTATACATTAAGTTTCACTGGAACTCATGCAGGCTTTTTGTTGAAGTGTTATCAAAAGCTGCTTTTGTCATGTTGTGGCAGAGTTGAGTAGTAAAAATATTTGGGCCAGACCCCAATGTTCACAGACCCCTTTTCCAGGACATCTTTCATGATAAATAAAGCTCATAAACAGCAGAAGTACTAATTTAAGAAAATTATTTGCTTTTGAGTACATATTTGTGCCTGGCACTCTTCTAAGCCTGGTAATATAGAAGTAACTAAGACAAAACTTGTCACTAACAGCCTTTATAGAACTTCAGTGCAGAAAACCATATACTATATTACTTTTTAAAATAGAAAAAAATTTGAAAAATTGAAAGTGAAGAAATTTATATATATTGTCTGTTTTCCCAGTGGATCCCATTTAAGAGATAAGAGACTAGGGGTGCAGCTCAGTGGTAGAGCTCTTGCCTAGTATGCACAGGCCCTGTGTTGCATCCCAGCACTATAGCAAAGAAACAAACAATCGAAAAGGAAAAAAAAAAAAAAAAAGAAAGAAAAACATGAGTTCTGCTGGAAAACATTTAATTGGTGGTTGGGTTTTTTCTGGACTTTTCTTTGTTGTGGTCAGTTTTTCTGTGGGCCTGAGAACCAGCTGGCTCCTAACTGCCATCACTTCTAGAGCACTGATAAGATATAACAATGAGAAACTGTTTTTTTCACGCTTTGCAATCAAGTTTTTCTGTTATCCCTGAGATGTGTTATGGAATAAATTTATCCAATCTTTAAATGTCCATTCAGGCCCAATTTAAGTGTGGTTACAGATTTTTTCTTTGCTTTGTTAATTCTGTAATATCAGAATTCTTCAGGGTGTGTTCTTAAAGGTAGAGCTATCTCTGCTATTGATAATGATTTTTATTTCCTGCTTAGGGAAAGAATGATATCTGAAGCCCTATGGAATGCTTTTGTTTGCTTATTGATTATTTGTCTTCCCTCAGGGCCTTATCACTAACCTTTGAGAAGGCAAATAATAAGGAAGCAGTTTTTATTTTCAGCTTTGTCAAGAGTTGGGCTTTTCCTTCCCTGGTTAATACTGCCAAGAATATCATTTCATTTCTAATTTTGAACTGGTCAAAATGATAAAGTGGCGAAAATTCACAACTGATTGGAAATAGGTGCCAGCAAGAATTACAGGTGCAACAGTGTATTCTAAGAACTAGATTGTTGTAACGGAGAGGCAGTCAACATAAACATGACAAATGGTTGAGAATCTTTGTTATCATATCAGCAATATGGTGTTAGTATCTCAGATTCTAAAGTGTGGTCTAAGTCACTAATTGGCATTTGAGTGTTTATTTGAAAAGATTAATGTGTTACTTTTATAATTGCAGAGATCTGAGTAGAAACCAGATCCATGAAATTCACAACAGAGCTTTTGCGAAGCTTGGGCCAATAACTAACCTGTAAGTAGAAAAATTATTATATTCAATAATATCATGAAAACAGTAAACAGTGTTATAGAAATTTGTTTTAACATGGTCAAATGTTTTTTGTTGTTGTTGTTGTTTTTCTGTTTAGTGGTTCCCTTTTCATAAATGCTAAGCTGCATTGATGCAGTAACTGTTTTTTTGGATAAAAAGACACATTCTAGATCTATCATTTAAGCATCCATAAACTTCATTTTAGGAGTCTAAAATTTAGGATGTTAATATAGGTATGGATGTTTTTATTTGATTGCATCTTAGGGAGTTAACTTGAACTCTTATTCACATTTTAGAGATGTAAGTTTCAATGAATTAACTTCATTCCCTACGGAAGGCCTGAATGGGCTAAATCAGCTGAAACTTGTGGGCAACTTCAAGCTGAAAGAAGCCTTAGCAGCAAAAGATTTTGTTAATCTCAGGTATGTTTTTGCTTATTTTTCTTTTTCACTGGAGTTATGGTAGGCTCCCAAATTATACATTGACTTGGTTTTATGCTGTGGTTCCTAGATTTTTCTGGTGTGCTATAATTTAAAAGAGTTTTCTAACTCTTGCAAAATTGGTGAAAAATAGAACATGAGCATTGTTTCATAGTTGTTGAGAACATGACATAAAGCTCTCATTGCTCTCAAATAGTTAGTATCAGGTAAATGTTCATCAGAACTTTTTTTTTTTTTTTTAATATAATGGACTTGTCATGAGCAACAAGATGCCAGAAGCCACTTAAGTGTGAATCTACAGAAAAATTGATACAATCCTTTAATACTTCAGAGACTTATGGGGGACCTTTATTAAATGTAGTAGAAAAAGGACTTGGGAATGTTATTGTAAGATAAGAAAATAAACACTTTTACTACATTTATATGAACCAGGTAAATTCATTTGATGGTGTAAAGTTACAGATTATCTAGGGTATTCATTTTAAGTGAAACTTTCAGTTTCATAGTGAAATTTACGATAAATTTGACTGGTTATGACCTATAAAAGAAGTCATAGCACTGGGGATTGAGCCTAGGAGCCCTTTACCACAGAGTCATAACCTCAGCCTGTTTTTTTCTTTTCTTTGTTTCGAGGCAGGATCTTGCTAAGTTGCTGAGACTAAGACTGACTTTGAACTCATGATCCTCTTGCCTCAGCCTCCGGAGTAGTTTGGATTATAGGCCTGTGCCATTGCACCTGGCAACGGTTTTACTTTAAATTGCAGTATTATTATGAAACTTTATATATACTTGATTTGCATCCACCTTTCTTAAGAGACACCTCATAGAAGTGGAGAAACTTTGTGGTGTATCTTTATGATCATTTTTATGAGCTTTACTAGAGTGTTTAACATAGATAAGGTTCCTAGAGGGTAAATGATCAAGACTAAAGTATACTTAAGATACTTAAGACTTTTTCTGACCCGAAGGTTGGGATTTTCAAAGATTAAAATGCTTTTTACAAAACAAAATTATGTCTATGAAGTTGCTACTCAGAATGTATTTTACAATTTTTTTCCCCAGGTCTTTATCAGTACCATATGCTTATCAGTGCTGTGCATTTTGGGGCTGTGACTCTTATGCAAATTTAAACATAGAAGATAACAGCCTTCAAGACCATAGTGTGACAAAGGAGAAAGGCAAGTACATGAACCTTTAGAAACAGAACACTCCCTAAGGCATTAATCAAAATGTATGTGTTGTAATCAGTTTGGGAAGGATCAATATGAAGTCTGTGAGAAAAACAGCCTTTCCTGTGTTACTGGCATATTTAATGTGTTATCAAGCCACATTTGTATACACTGAACGTTAACATCATGCAGGGGAGAGAAAATTGTGGGAACATCTGGGTTTTTTTTTTTTTTAACTTCCCATTTTTAATTCAGCATACTTTATTGTATTTTCAGGTACCACTGATGCAGCAAATGTCACCAGCAGTGCTGAAAATGAAGAGCACAGTCAAATAATTATCCATTGTACACCCTCAACAGGTAATGCTCAATCCATTTGGCTGTAATTTTTTACTTTAAGTAAACATTGGGCAAATATATCTAATCTTCCTGGCGATGGATGTTATTTCTATTTTACAAGGGTGGGACTAGATGATCCTGTAAGGCCTTCTGATTCATAGTGTGTTCAGTGTACCAGCATCTCTTGCAGAATCTCAGGCTCATACCACTGAATCAGAATCTGCATAATAACAAGCTCTTCCAGGTGAGGGTCATGTACATCAAGTTGGAGAAGGAATTTCTTGATGGCCCTTTAGGTCTAGAACTAGTTCTGAAATAAGTCACTGTCCATAAAGTTTTTTTTTTTGTTTTTATATTATTCTTTATTTATTGTGGTGCCAGAGATTGAACCCAGGGCCTCCAGAATGCAAAGCTTGTGCTTTATTACTGAGCTTTGTCCCCAGCCGCCGCCACCTTCTTCTTATTATTATTATTATTTATTATTTTATTTCATTTTATTTTTTGGTACCAGGGATTGAATCCAGGGTTGCTTAACCACTGAGCCACATCACCAACCTGTTTTACTTTTTCATTTTAAGGCAGGGTCTCATTAAGTTGCTTTGGGCCTCACTAACTTGCTGAAGCTAGTTTTGAACTTGTGATCCTCCTGCCTTAGCCTCCTGTGCCACTGGGATTATAAGCATGCACCTACAATTTATTTTTTTAAATGCAATCTTGTCTACTCTTTCTGATTTACTTCATTGAAGTTTTAGTTTTAGGAAAGTTATTAAATGATTCCAATATTTATTTGATTGTAGTGTCATATTCTGCTTTGTCTATCAGAGAACTTGGGATTTATACTTTTACTATAAAGGAAAGGTTTTAAATATTTTTTGTTAAATCATCTACCAAATAGATTCCTATTAGTATGATGTCACAGGCTGAACTGGCCATTAATTTGTGGGGCAGGAGGGTGACGGGGTACCAGGGATTCATCTCAGGGACACTCGGCCACTGAGCCACATCCCCAGCCCTATTTTATATTTTTATTTAGAGACAGGATCTCACTGAGTTGCTTAGCAGCTCAGTGTTGCTGAGGCTGGCTTTGAACTCACGATCCTCCAGTCTCAGCTTCCTGAGCCACTGGGATTGCAGGTGTGTGCCACCATGCCTGGGTTGGCCATTAATTTTATAACTTAGAATCATCAGTGCTGTGAATCACTAATGATTGATGCTGAATTGTGAGCTTCTTAAGGGCCTATGTATGTATGCTTTGAATATTTAACCCATTTCCTTGTGTGGAGAACAAACTTAATTTTAACAGATGAGTAGGTGCAACTAGCAAGAATCATTTATGTAATTTATTTAATTGTGCAGATATTAATTTTTGACAGTTAGGAGTACAGTTCACTCTCTTGCCCATGAAGGATTCAAGTGTTGGAGATTGTACACAGAACTGATGATTCAGTGAGAAGGAAACATTCTTTTTTGGAGGGGGCAGTGGTACTAGGGATTGAACCCAGGGGTGCTTAACCATTGAGCCACAGTCTCAACCCTTTTTTATATATTATTTATAGAGGCAGGGTCCAACTGAGTTGCTTAAGGCCTTGCTAAGTTGCTGAGGCTGGCTTTAAACCCATGATCCTCCTGCCTCAGCCTCCAGAGCCTCTGGGATTATAGGTGTGTGCCATGTCGCCTGGCAGGAAACAGCATTCTTTTGCAGTACTGGATACACCTGTAATTGGATCCATTCTGGAGGCTGAGGCAGGAGGACTGCAAGTGCAGGGCCAGTGTCAGCCACTTAATGAGACCCTCGCCAATTTAGAGATATCCTGTCTCCAAATAAAAAATGAAAAAGGCTGGGTATATATTTTAGTGGTAGAACACCCCTGTGTGTTTAGTCCCTGTACTACCCTCCCCACAAATAAAATATGAGAAAGAACTTCCATTTTAGTACTTCCTGAGGGTTCGGAGTGAAATGAAATTTGATTAAAAAAATTTGTGTTCATTGAAAATCAGATAAATGGTGCAGAACTGGAGTTTCACTGTATATGTCAAATTTCATGACAGTTCAGAAAGTTAAAACATATCTTTTAGGCAATTGTAATACATAGTTTTCTTGTTCTTTATAGTCAAACATTTTCACTCCTTAATTATAAATGAAATAGTTTTCATTTGTGACATTACTAGCATGTCAAAGTCAGTTATTAGAACTAGAAATTCAGCTACTAAGTGTATTCTTGCAATCCTATATATATTTATAGGGGTTTTATTATTATATAGGGGTTTTGTTTTGTGCCAAGCTTTGTCTGAATAGTTAACATGATTATCTACCATAACCAACTTCAGCAGGTTGCTGTTGAATGCCATAAGAAATTGGGTTTAAAATGTTACAAATCTGTGTATATACATACATATACAGTTATAAAATATATAGACAGCTGGGTTTATAGCTCAGTGGTAAATGGTAAAGCTTTTGCCACGTTTGAGGCACTGGGTTCGATTCTCAGCACCACATATAAACAAACAAACAAACAAATAAATGTTGATCAACAACTAATACAAATATTTAAAAAAATAAAATACATAGGGATAAGGAAGGAAGAAAAAAAACTAATATCTACTAAAGTTCCACTATGTGCCCAGCAGCCTGCTTAAGTACTTATGTATGCAAATTTACTTAAGCTGTCAACTGTATTAAGTAGGCATTATTATCTACATATCAGAAAATGCAACTTATTAGGCTTAACTGGCTTTTTTAAGGTAAGAGTAGCAAGTTATAAACCATCTGATTCCAGACCCTCAGTATTTTAAGTATCTTTTATGTGCTAGATACTGAGCTTTATATTTGGTATAAGAAAAAATAGAGGGCTGGGGTTGTAGCTCATTGGTTGAGTGCTTGCCTGGCATGCGTGAGGCACTGGGTTCAATCCTCAGCACCACATAAAAAATAAAATAGATCTTGTGTCCATCTACATCTAAAAAAAAATTTTTTTAAAGAATAAAGAAAAAGAAAAAGTAGAAATTTTCTTGGAAATATCTCTATATGGCCTTTCCAAATAATAAAAGAAACTAATCCTGGTTATGTTTTGTTTCAGTACTGGAGATTGAACCCTGGGGAGCTTTACTACTCAGTACCCTCCCTGGAGCCCTTTTTATGTTTTTAGTATGAGACAGGATCTTGCTTAGTGGATGAGGCTGGCCTTGAACTTGCCATCTTCCTGCTTTAACCTCTTGAGTCCCTGGGATTATAGGTGTGTGCCAGTTACACCCAGATATTAAGCTGCTTAATTTTTAAAATAGCCTAGTCTGTGACTGAAATATCTTAAAAGCAATGTTTTTTTTTCCAGTTTGGTGGTTCAATTCAGTTAGGTAGCTGATTTATTCTAGATTCAACCATCATTAGTCATTCTATCAAGCATATTATATGAAATATGGTATTTTCTAAATTGTCTTTCATGTTTCTGTTTCTTTTTCATGTTAGGTGCTTTTAAGCCCTGTGAATATTTACTGGGAAGCTGGATGATACGTCTCACCGTGTGGTTCATTTTCTTGGTTGCATTGTTTTTCAACCTGCTAGTCATTTTAACAACCTTCGCATCTTGTACATCACTGCCTTCCTCCAAGTTGTTCATAGGCTTGATTTCTGTGTCTAACTTATTCATGGGAATCTATACTGGCATCTTAACTTTTCTTGATGCCGTATCCTGGGGAAGATTTGCTGAATTTGGCATTTGGTGGGAGACTGGCAGTGGCTGCAAAGCAGCTGGGTTCCTTGCAGTTTTTTCCTCAGAAAGTGCCATATTTTTATTAATGTTAGCAGCTGTTGAAAGAAGCTTATCTGCAAAAAATATCATGAAAAATGGGAAAAGCAATCATCTCAAGCAGTTCCGGATTGCGGCCCTTTTTGCTTTTCTGGGTGCTGCAGTAGCAGGCTGTTTCCCCCTTTTCCATAGAGGGGAATATTCTGCATCACCCTTGTGCTTGCCATTTCCCACAGGAGAGACGCCATCATTAGGATTTACTGTGACCTTAGTGCTGTTAAACTCACTAGCATTTTTATTAATGGCCGTCGTCTACACTAAACTTTACTGCAACTTGGAAAAAGAAGACCTCTCAGAAAACTCACAATCTAGCATGATTAAGCATGTTGCTTGGCTAATTTTCACCAATTGCATCTTTTTTTGCCCTGTTGCATTTTTCTCATTTGCACCATTGATCACTGCAATCTCTATCAGTCCTGAAATAATGAAGTCTGTTACTCTGATATTTTTCCCATTGCCTGCTTGCCTAAATCCGGTCCTGTATGTTTTCTTCAATCCAAAATTTAAAGAAGACTGGAAGTTACTGAAACGACGCGTTACCAAGAAAAGTGGATCAGTTTCAGTTTCCATCAGTAGCCAAGGTGGTTGTGTGGAACAGGATTTCTACTATGACTGTGGCATGTACTCACACTTACAGGGTAACCTGACTGTATGTGACTGCTGCGAATCTTTTCTTTTGACAAAGCCAGTATCATGCAAACACTTAATAAAATCACACAGCTGTCCTGCATTGGCAGTGGCTTCTTGCCAAAGACCAGAGGGATATTGGTCTGATTGTGGCACACAGTCAGCCCACTCTGACTATGCAGATGAAGAAGACTCCTTTGTCTCAGACAGTTCTGACCAAGTGCAGGCGTGTGGACGAGCCTGCTTCTATCAGAGTCGAGGATTCCCTTTGGTGCGCTACGCTTACAATCTACCAAGAGTTAAAGACTGAACTACTGTGTTTGTAACTGTTTCCCCCATCAACCAAATTCACAGTGTTTATAGAGTGAACCCTATTCTGTTCTTTCATCTGGGAAGCACTTCTGTAATCACTGCCTGGTGTCACATAGAAGGGGAAGGTGGCAGTTTATTTCTCAAACCTGACATTTTTCAAAGAACAGGTGCCTAAATTATTAATTGGTGAAAAATGCAATGTCCAAGGAATGTGTGGTCTATTTGAAACAGAACTTGAAAAGGATTTTGGGTGTGGTATAGCAATATAACTTTTAGATTTTTCAGATCCATAAGGAGCAAATTTATACCTACTTCTGAATTAAGCACAAAATAAAGGACAGCTGTTAATATTTTTTAAAAAGGTAGTTCAAAATGTGACTTTATATAACTGACAAAAAAGTCTTGCTAATTTTACCTATTATTTGATCATTAATCTCAGGACAACTTACTACAGGGCCAAAAAAGGGATTGTCTCCCAACTAGAACTGTGAGAGTACACATAGGTGTCATTGTTTTCTATTTCCACTTTTACATGAGAATCATAAATTTCGTTCAATTGCTTTATAAATCTATATAAACCTGAAGATGTTTTAAAAACCATATTAACAGCTGTTAGAATAAAAAAAATCAGTACATTTGTTTGGGGTCATTTTACATTGCTTTGTTTCGCTCACCATGATTTTCACTGTTTTGCAATTATACTACTAGTACAAAATAAATGGCTAATTGATGTTTGAGTTTAAGTAGATTTGGCTACACTACTTACTAATGAGATTTTAATAGTACCTAAGGGATTTGATGGCTCCATGTAATGTTCCCATTAATAAATGCTTCTTAATATCATTGGTTCTACTGATATTTTCCAGTTTTGTTGGTATGTCATCTATTTATAGTTTGGATTATAAAGAAAGTAAACTGGGGTCATTTTTTTTTTTGTAATTGGAGGAAGCTGAAAATAATTATGACACAAAGCACTTAAATTTATTTCTTAGTGAACTGGATTCTCCTAAACTTATGTTATTACTTGGAAGGTTCTATAAAATTTTCCCATACCATGACTTACAAAAAAAACCTATTCAATAGCTCATATGCTGAGCTCTGGTTAGACTAGACAGACATATCATTAAGGAGGGGAAAAGGATAAGGCTTAGTCCTATGTCTTTGAAAATTAAAAATTTTACCTGATTCTCATCTAGGGTCTTCTGCCATGTTTTTTTGTGGAGTCTTAAAGTTATAATTGCTCGATATGTTTTTTGAACAATGTACTAAATAGCAAACCCACTGCCATATTATTATCCTGGATATACTAAAAAAAATTAAGCTAGATTGCAGTTTAATAATTAAACTGTACATACTGTGCATATAATGAATTTTTATCTTATGTAAATTATTTTTAGAACACAAGTTGGGAAACATGGCTTCTGTTCATTTCGTTTAATTAAAGCTACCTCCTATAGTGGCTGCCAGTAGCAGAATGTTAAATTGTGGTTTATATACTTTTTTCATTGTAAATAGTCTCGGTTGTACATTGTCAGTGTAAAAACAGAATCTTTGTATATCAAAATCATGTAGTTTGTATAAAATGTGGGAGGGATTTATTTACAGTGTGTTGTAATTTGTAAGGCCAACTATTTACAAGTTTTAAAAATTGCTATCATGGTTTGTATATTTACACATCTGAAAAATATTAAATCATAACTCGGTAAGAATCTTAATTAAACTTGTTTTCTCAAAATTCAAGTTATTGAAAACTTTTCATTCATTTAAAAATAGAATAGCAGATATATAAAATCTGTGGTAAACTGTGCTATATATTGTATGAAATACAATATTGTACTCTATGTTTTGAATTATTAAAGTTTCTAGAAAGCAGTCTATTTTGCCTTAATTTGTAACTAAGTATGTTAATGTATTTACTTACTATTATGGAGACAAATTTAAAAACTTTTAAATAGAAAAGACAGTATTAGAAAAAATGTTGGAAGTAACCATTAGAAAATATTGTTTGATAGTTATCTGTAAATATTTAAGAACACTTGGCTGAAACTTAAAACTTTTATCCTGTCTTAAATCTGAACTATATCCTGGAAAACATATTGTGAAATGTAAGTGAATACCACTAATTCAATCTTTATTTTAAAGCAAGTGATTAAAAATATCTACATGATATTAATTGTAGTCAGTTGCCTAAAAACTTAGTATTACAATCTCCAAGCTCTCTTTGGACAAATGAGAAAACAAAGGGTTTAATGAAATTTAAGTGAATCCCTGAATCACAGCAAATTAGATCCCAATCAAAACTTAGTTCCTCTTAATTTTGGACATATTTTATGTGTTTGTATGTGTTAATAAGTGTGTATGCCTCTTCCCGTTTTAAACTTCATATGTGTTTGAAATTTTCACAACAAAAAGAATGGTTTAGGTACCCCTCTCCCTCTCCCCTTCCCATGCCCACCACCCAAAACCACAACACACAGTAAACCCTGTTTCATCTTCACCTTATTCACTAGCCCCCTCAATTCTTCTGCCTCTTAGATTATTTTGAAGCAATCCAGACATATTGTTTCATCTGCAAATGTCTAGGAATAATTATTTTTAAAGCTAACTAAAAATGGCATGATTTTTGTAACAATGTCATATAGGAATTTGTAAGGAAAAGTCATTCTTCACTTACACACAGGTTATAGAACCAGCAAAAAAAAAAAAAAAAAATCTCAAATATACCATGAAAGTGAAAATAAATGAGTAGAAAGAAAAGACATTACTAAGTAATATCCTAAAATTTATGGGAAAACATCTTTTAATGCTTTTTATACCCTTCTTTATGACTTCTTGGCCCCAATAATGTAAAGGCAGTATAAGAGACCACAGGACTTGACTACTTTCAAATACGTGTACCCACAGCATGGAACTGCCCCATAGTCTTTGGGTCTCCAGTATTGTTAACATTTAATATAATTATCATAATGATGATCCTGAAGCATGAAGGAAAGGACTTTCTCTTTTATAAAGCATTTTTTTTTAAAAAAATAAAACATCTAAAGGAGGAAGGGAAGTATATAACATCTTAGATTCCCAATCCAAAAAGTTACAGTGGAAAAGCTTTGGCATTCAAGTGATACAATTTACTCTTACATCTGTCAAATCCTGAACTAGAAATTTTGAGGATTAATTAGATAATATGACTGTGAGATAGATTATTTCCTTAATATTTAGAGGAGTAAATTAGGATCAGAAAGGTCAACAGCTTATTTATGGAAATTTATTAAGAGAAAAGCTATTGATTAAAATTATTTTTCTTTCATAGATAAAACCTGTGAGTTTTCCACTATGCTTGCATTAGGTTATGTCTATTGGGAAATTGCTTCTAAAGCTTTCTTCCTTGTGAAGTCCTAAAACAGTTCAGGGTCTTTTGATATTACTGATTCTAAAAATGTTCTAATGAAAGGTTTTAGCCAGACATGCCAATATTGAATTATTGGGGTAGAGAATAAAAAAAAAAAACTCTACTAAATAAGTTTTATTCCTTGATCAATTTATTACTCATTTGGATTGCTCTGATTTTCTTCATTTCACTGTTGTTACTAAAATTTAAAAATATTCCATTTAAGAAGTTTTAAGCATGCATATTTATTTTTTTGTGGTAGGGGAATCAAACTCAGGGTCTCACATGCTCTATGCCCCTAGCTGGCATATCATATTTTATTATAACTTCTGCTTCCAGAATTGTCTTTGTTATATTTTATCATATCTCATTGTCCTGTGTCAAATTTTGTAGATCTAAACTTCATCAAGGATTCTGTATTACTCTTTGATCAGTAACAACTTTATGTGCGATTTTTAGCCACTGTCCGTTTTCACATGATACTTCTACCAGTTATACAAATGATGAACTGGACAGAGCTAAATTCACACCAGTGTATGCAGTTTTGTCAGTATAAATAAAGCATCCAGGTTTATAATGTCTGTCATCTCTCTTGCTACTTTTATCCCCATCTCCAATCCCTGAGTTCCCACAAAATATTCTTTCCTCATAAAATACACATCACAGCATATTTTAATTATATTTGTCGCCACCAAAAGATGAGGAATTTAGTAACATTTACAATTTAACAGTATCATTTACCCCAGTCCTTAGCAAAGGTTAGAGGCTTAGCACATAATAGAGGCTTAAAAAAGTAAAAACAATTCACAGGTGTAGACAGATTAGTTGCCTTTAAGACGCCAGGCAAACGAGATGTATCAAAACACTAAAAGATGGTGCTAAACCTGCATTATTTTTTGGTAGCAGGGATGGAACCCAGGGCCTCATGCATACTAGGCAAGCACTTTACCACTGAGCTACATCCCCAGGCCACCTAAACCCGCTTTCTTGGATACACTTGTAAAGTTAGTTACCCCGCCCTCAAAAAAAACATGACCTGCTCAAGGAAATCAAGATTGGTGCGTATAATCCTGACCTTAGGTGTGTGTGTGTTGGGGTGGGGGGTGGGGGCGAGGGATGGACGTTAGTCCTTAATTCTGCCTCTTTCCCTTTAAAAGGAGTTGCTTTATTCAGTAATAACGTTATTTCAAATACCAAATGGTCTGCAACAACACCTCAAAAAAAGGCCAGGCCTCCGAAGGTGTGAGCTGGAAAAGACGCAGAGTTGAACAAGTTCACAAGCAACAGGCACCTTCCAGACACAGGAAGAAGGGCAGACGGAGAGGAAGCCACGCTCTACAGGCCGGGACAAAGCCCTCGCGTCCTCCTCGCGTCGCCATGGCAACGCGGCATCGGGGCCGGCCCGGATTGGCCGGGCCCTGCGCGCGCGGGGCCTGCTGGGAGAGCACGTCCTCGCTGCAGCTCGGCCGGTTTGAACTTGGCGGGCCAGATGCGGGCTGTGGGGCGGTGGAGTATTGCTTCTTCCCCTCCCGGCATCCTGTTCTCCGCGGACTGCAGTTCCGAGTCTCAGCCCTCCGTGGCCTCCTTCTCCGTCCTCATGACGGGTCCCCGGGGGCAGAGGCTGGGGGCGGTGGCAACGTCTATCTGTTCGTCGCCGCCGCCTCAGAGCTGCAGCAATTCCACCATGTCACTGTTGTCTCCCCTTGGCCACCAGAGCTTCTCGTTTGACGATGAACATGGTGACGGAGAGGATGAGGAAGATGTGGACGAAGATACCCATGACGTAGAGGCCGAGGTGTTGAGCCTGAGAGGAACGGAGTTACCGGGGCGCGCCAGGTAAACCTGAGGCTGCCCGACCGATATAACCGGTCCCAAGGTTCCTTGGACCCTTCCAAGTACCTTCAGCAAACCAAAACAATCTCCTGTCTTCCACCTTAGAGGCTGAGCAGGCGCCTGCATCCTTAAGTGCAGCCCTTTCTGCAGAGAGTCCTGGGCCATTTCTTAAAGATGACGTGTTTTCTGATTCTTAGCCCTTTAATTGCTGCTATCTCAGTTTCCTTTAAAAATGGCCCGTGTATAGTCTAGAATCGAACACACAAAACTGCTTCTATTTCAGGAGTTTTACGAATCCTCAGAAATCCAGATGGTGAACTAAAGAACTCTTGTCCATAATCTTAGTTCCAAAATGTGTTTTATGTGGTAGATTGTAATAGTGTAAAGAGCTGAAGCACAGAGATTAGTCCACGACAGCATGCAGAGGCAGGGTTGTGTCTGATCTGAAGACGAACTTTCAATGGAATAGTTATTGTTGTATCAAAGAATATTTGAAGCAAAGGGATTATTAAAAACCATCATAATGTTTATTTCTACAGTGATTCAGTCAGCAAACATCTATGTTTTGTCACATATTAGTTTAGGTACTAGGGACCATAAATAAAATATACGAGATTTTATTAAATTAAAGCCCATCTCGGTCCACTCATTTTATAGGTGATAAAACTGTATCACAGAACACAAATAAAAAGACTGACTCAAAGGCATACACCAACTTATTAGCAGACCTGGGCCTAGTAGTGAGGTAAACTGATCAGGGTTCCTTCTTATACAGCATGACTATTTTGGGGTGTATAGAAATAGAAGCAAAAGGCCTATCACTGAAGGAATATGTAATATTGTAGGTCTCTTTGGGGGTAAAAGTCATCTTCAGAAGCCAATTTACAAGTTTCTGATCATCAAACTATATAAGGAACAATACAGGAGACCTAAAAAATGCAGACCAGAGAGAACCCATACTTTATGTGTAAGTGACAAGATGGCCCCTCTCTATATAAGGAATGAATGAATGGAATGTGGAATCATATGAAATGACCCATACATGGTTACAAAAGTTATTCTTTTAAAGATGAGAGGTATGTTGGTGGGAATGGAAACCAGGAAGAGTAACCACGAAGGCTGTCCAGGCTGCTTGAAAAAACAAGAAAGAGGCCATCTCGTATTAACCCCATAGACTCAGTGGTAAGAGTTAGGGTTTTAGGAGACCATTTTCATCTATGCTTTGTAGGGACTCTTTAGGACTTAGTTGGTATTAGATATTTTTAAAATGAATTTTAAAGATGTGTGAAATACCTTCTGATCATAATTAACAGGACTAAACAATGTGGACATAATTTATCAGCCTGAGGAATAAATGCCATGAAAAACTGCAGCTCAACTACTGAGACCCTGCATTAGCTTCCACAAGCCAAAATGCTAATCAAATGGAACCTGCCAAGGGAAGAGCCAGACCTATCTATGTCTCACCCAAAGCCTGAATGAGCTAATAGGGCTAAGGCTGCCTAAACACATTTCATTCCCCATGAGTCAAAAGAATACTGAGGATGTGGGTCTAGAAAGAGAATTTGTTAGGTCTTGTGTGTGGCAAGTGTCAGATTCTTATTAGGTACTCAGTAAATGTGTGTTGAATGAATTCCTGTTTCTCCTTCCTGGAGAATAGTTAGATACCATGATTATTCTCAAATGGTTCAGAAAAACTAGCACTTCTTTTCCTTTAGAAGATTACTGTGTTCCTTTAGTTGTTGTTCTGGATAGCTTGTATGGGATGAGATGAGGGAAGGCAGCCTGGGTCATAGCCCAGCCATTGGTTTGGGCTATCAGCATCCTCTGTAAAGAGAAACCAAGAGCTCTGGGATTTTATGTCTGTCTCTGTCCCTTACCAGCTACATCTGATTGTGGCATACTAGTAGAGTAAGGCTTCTTTGAGATAGACTCAGGCATTGGCTGCACATATCTCTCTATGTGCTCAGATTTGTGTGTGTGCTGGGCCTCATACATGCCAGGCAAGCATTATGCCACTCAGCCACACCCCAATCCCTCAAGATAATTTTCAGTACAAATAGACTTATGCTTAAAAGATGGATTGACCTTCAAGTATATTGGCTGGGATTGAGAAGATGATCAAAGATGACCTCAAGAAAAGATAATGAAAAGTATTTTTCTGGAGTCTTTTATAATATGCTTTGGGCCTACTGCTTATCTATTTAGTTATTTTCTGACTTTCTTATAACTACAGTTAGGAAAGTTGTGCCTTAATAAGTTTCTTGTCATAAATAACTAATTATGAAGCCTTTCTTTATTATGAGTATACCTGTAGTTTATATGCTATACATTTTGAACATATTTGCTAAAAATGTTAAGGCAGAAAGTATTAAATGTTATCTAAAAAAAAAAACTGATTTGACTAATTTCTTCTTTCGACAGTGTTTCATAATCTAGACCCTCAGTCAAGACATATTTGGTTTTCTTCTTTCCTTTTTTTTTTTTTTCCAGTACTGGGGATTGAATCCAAGGTGCTTTAATCTACAGCCTACTAATCTACAATCCTAAACCTTTTAATTTTTCCAGGCTGGCCTCAAACTTATAATCCTCCTGTCTCAGCCTCCTACATTGCTGGGATTACAGGTCTAAGCTATCACAACCAGCCATGTTCTTATTTATTTATTTATTTATTTATTCATGTTCTTTTCTTTAAGGAACTTCATGGCCTGTGGCAGAAGGAGACCAGTGACAAGAAACCCAAGGCAGTTAATCCAGAAGTTTTTAGAAAGTTTCCCAGACAATATAGTATCAGAATAAAATCTTGAAGGAAGAATAGCAGTTAGTTATAGTAATAATTATAATAAATGGCATACCATTTACTTACTGAGGACCCAGAACTATACTAAGTGCTTTAGCTTCTTCATGCAGCTACTACTGTCATCTCCATTTTACAGATGAGATCTCTTTTTTAAAGAAATTTAAATATGTGCACAAGCTAGGAAGAAGCAGATATAGATTTTATCCCCAGGCTGTTTTAATCACAAAAGTAAGCTCTTAATCTGGCCATATGTGGAGGTAGAGGAAAGGCATTTCAGTTTTAAGCAAAAACTGCAGAGCACAACACCATAATGCATTTACCAACCCACAGAAGTTCAACATGACTGAAATGTAGAGTCTGGATCACCCATTTATGAAAAGAAAGACAGGAGTCAATTTATGGATGTCAGGAGTTTGGATTTCATCCTGTGCGCAAATGGGCCCCTGAAGAACTTTTGAGATGAGAAGTTACATGATAAAAGGATACATTGGAGGGGCAAATCTGGCAACAGGTTTAGAGAATGATTTAAAAGGGAAGGCTAGAGACTGTTTATGTTTGGAGTGATTGAAAGGTTGGAGAAGAAAATCACTTGAGAAAATTGAAGGATGTAGAATTGACATGACTAGTGATTATATGGGCATGAGGGTAGGGAGAGTCAGACATGAAGAGGGGGAGCAGGTGGAGTCAGTTCTGGATTTCTGGATTAGGTAACTGGGTGGATGGTGGTAACATTCACTTAGGATTATAAGAGGAGTAAACTTTTTCTTAGTGTGGAAGAAAGAGGGGGGTGGATGCTGGAAAATGCTTACTTTTTTTTTTTTTCAACTGACTTGAGTTCAATATCATGGAGCTGTCTATCAAATGGTTGGAAATAAGTCTGGAACTTAAGATAGAGATCTGGCCCAGAATAGCTGATCCAGATATCACCAGCATATAGTGATAGTTGAAGCTGAGAACAGATGAGATCATAATGCAAGACTGAAAAGGAAAGATGTGCCTAAGAAATACTATATTAACAATGTCTCTTTAACACTTAGAATACAGGTTCTGTAAAGACATGAATGGATGATTAAATAACATAACCCCCCCCCCAAAAAAAAATTAGGGAAACTGAATCTATGAGGTAGAAAAAGTGGTACAAAGCAGTTGTGATGCAACTGTTTGTTAGAAGGAACAATGTTGAAGATACACACACCTGAGTCTATATAATAAACTTGCCCCTGGAGCTTTGTTGGGTACTGAACAATCTTCCTATCCGTGAGTGCTGATTGTTAAGTTTTCCATAAGTTTTGTGAGGCTTATGTATCCAGCCAAGTCCTTCTGTTCTTTGTTTACTCATATAGTTAATTTTCTGTATACCCGGAAGAGTCAGACTGACAGAAGGTACAAAGTGGAGATGAGGACAATAAGAGATAACCAGATTGGAGATATTTACTCTAAGAACTGGCAAAAGGTCGTCAAACAAAATATTAAATGTTGAAGGAGAGAAGGTCACAGCAGTTGTGGGTGTAGCTCAGTTGGTACAGAGTATACTTAACATGCATGAGGCTCTGGCTTCGATTCCCAGCACTGAAAAAAAGAAGGGTATATTTTTTCTATAGCTTTCTACTTCAAAACAATTTCAAATCTAAAGAAAAAAGAATAAAAAAAACTTCTATTCATCCTTTACCCAGAATTCCTAATTATTAAATTATTTGCTTTTCATCATTCTCTCGGTATATATGTACACATTACTTTCTTTTTCTATGCTATATAAGGGAGGGAAAGGGAAAGATCTGCCCCAGGATCTGATTAAAGTTATGTGGATATGTGTGTATGTGGTAGTGGGGCTGGAGATATAGTTCAGGGGCATGTCCAAGACCCTGGGTTCAACCCCTGGTACCACACACACACCTACAAAAGATTATGTGTACTAGTAGTAATTAGTGATTACTTGTATAGATAGAATTTTTAGGAATAAAAAAATAAAATTTTAGAAATAAATAATTTCCTCAAGTGACCTTGAGGCACATAGGTTGGGCTCAAGTTATTCCATTGGGTTTTTAAATAATTTGGTTTTTAAAGGGAGTGGCTTAACTAAATAAGTAAAGTCATTCAAAATTAGATTTCCTTTTCCTGATTTTTCATATTTTGCTTTATATAATTGATTCATGTTTTTAAAATAATAGTATTGAAAATATGATGTTAGATTTTGTTTTCATTGTATAGTTAAATGATTTTTGACTAGTAAGAGAAGTATTTCGTGTATAAGTTCTACAGTATCCTTTCTTTCATAGCAGTAAAGTTGAATCAGAAGATAACCAAGAAGAACAGAAACAGGTGCACATAGGAGAAAGCAGCCTGACACCATGGGAGGTGTGGTTTGTTGGCAAAGAAAAAGAAGAACGTGACCGGCTGCAACAGAAAGCTCTAGAGGTACAACTAGACAGTATTTTTTTCTATTTGATTCTGAGCTCACAGAGTAGAGTTGCTGTTGTAAATTAAAATGTTAATCTTATTGTTCCTGAAAACAATATGTGTGCGTTTGTTTGTATTTGTTTACTATATCAATTTTAATAAATCTAATTGTAGAAGCAGTATGTTCATTAGAAGAACATTCAGAAAATATAGCTAAATATAATTAAGAAAATGAAAACCTCTTTTAATTTCACCACCTAATAATAATCTTTGTTAATATTATGGAATATAGCCTTCTAGACTTTCTT